TCATTCTTATATTGGTTACATATTGTAATAATATATTTGGGTTCAATAATGTGTATTATTGAAACTTTATTTCCCCATTGTCCTTTTACTTTTTTAGTGGGTCCATAGGAAATTTAAAGTCATTTACAGTGCATGTTCTGTTTCTACTGGAGAGACCTGGTCTCCACTTCCCTCTAGAACCCATCCCACAGAGGTGTGGGTCCAAGCACATCACCAGGAACAGCTCTGTCAGGTGACCTCCTGCTGGTCCATTTCCACTGCTGACTGCTCAGCAGCGTCTGACATGGTTGTCCAGTGCAGCACTTTGTTCTCTTGCCTCCAGGGACATCATGTTATCCTGACTTTTCTCTTTGCTCACTGATGGAGGATTCCCTCAGTATCCTTTCCTGAATCCTCATCTTCTCATCATCTCTTTTCTCATCCAGACACTCTCCATAGTGGACTCCATCCTGACTAATGCCTTTAAATACCATCTCTGGGGACTTCACAGCTCTGTGTCTGCAGCCCAGACCTCTCTCTTCTGGGAACCTGTGTGTTAATTGCCTTCTCAGCCCCTCCATGTATATACCCAGGAGGACTCTTCAGGTTTGCCTCCCTAAAACTGCTTTCTTGGTTCCACTTCCCCAAGCCCACCCCTCTGCCATACATCCTAGATTTGTAAAGAATAACTTTCATCCAGTTATTAAACCACAAATCTAGGAGTCATCCTTGATGCCTTTCTTCCTCTAACTACATCCAATCAATTGGCACATTCTGTTGGGTCTCCCTTCAAATTATATTTTGCATCCAATGACTTCTCGCCACCAGCAGCCGCCTCTGAGACCCATCATCTCTGAGCACAGCCTCCTCACAGGTCCCCCTGCTTCTACCTTACCCCCCACTGCATCCACGGTGATCCTTTTAAAATGCCAAGTCACTTTTCTGTTTGGAATCTTCCTGGAATAAAATGTGCTATCCTTATAAAAGCCACCACACATGATTTGCCCCCTCCTGACTCTCACCACACAGACACACACACACAGTGCCCCTCTTACCTGCTCCCTGAACCCTTCCCCTAGTTTGCTTTCCTGTTCCTTTCAGTGCTCAGAGTCCTGGGGGTTCACGCATCTCTCTGCCTGCGGTGCACTTCCCCGAATGCTCCTGTGGCTTGTCCTGTGTCCAGGTCTCAGGGTAAAGCTCCCTTTCTTACCCAGAGCAGCCTTCCCTGGTCACCGTACCTGAAACATCACCCCCAGGACCCTCTAGGGGTCTATTTCTCCTCATAACTCTGTCGCCACCTGACACCTCATCTGCTTGTTTGTTTCTTGTCTTTGCTGTGGGGTGGAAGCCTTCCAAGAGTAAGAGTTATCTGGGGGTCCATGTCTTTTCCCACGAAAGCCTCAAACAAGGCTCAGTACAGAGGTCAGTGTTGCCTGACTGGGTGTTTCAGCTGGATTCTGCTCAGTTATCAATTCTGTGCCCCTTCAGGGCAGAAGTTCAGGAACTCTTAGGTATCAGGACACTTGGAAACTTGCCTAAAATGCCTGTGCCTTGACCTCACCCCCTAGAGTTCCAAATGCTGAGGATTCTGGGGTAGAATCTTGAGCATTTTGGAGCAAGCCGTCCTGATGATTTTGATGCCTGGGGCAAGCAGACCACACTTTGCCAAGCACTGCCCTGGTGTACCAGTTTACCTTGGTTTAAATGCCACTCGGCTCTGTTGAGTGTGGTTACATGTATATCAGCAGTTCTTGACTCACCTGGGAAGCTAAATATAGATGTCCTAGCCCTGCCTCAGATCCTGTGAATCAGAACTTCCAGGGATGGATCATGGGAATCTATATTTTTAAAACTCCCTTGGTGCCAGTCTTCCCACTAGGCTCTGGGAGCCCCAGCTGTGTTTTATGGACTCCAAGGAGATTATAAAGTCAAGAGCAGATGTTTCTTACATCTTTTTGGGCCAACTTCGCTCCCCAACCCTCACTAATCCAACAGAACAGTTCTGTTCAAAAGTGGTATCCATTAAGTCTCTGTGGAGTGACACCGTGTTTGTCCACAATTTCAGCTTGCGTTTGTCACTTGGACATCAGCCAGGACTTGTACTACATTCCAGTTCAGCCCATTCTCTGATTAGAGGCTGGAATCATGTCTTAGTTGCCTAACTCATTCTGGTGGGGGCTTTCTTTGCAGTCCTTTCTCTCCAGCAATTTCAAATGCGTTTACCAGCGCAGACCAGCAGCACTGAAGTAATGTCAGCCATCATCACGCTTATACACTCACTCGTTCAACATTCCCCTTGTACCTGTCCTGGGGCACATGTATCCCAGCTGCCCTCAACCTGAGGGCGTATCACTGGTCTCCACAGCATCCCCAGGGATGGAGACAAGGGCTGACCCCTTGCCCTGGGTGACTGCCTGGGCTGCTCTTCTGCCTAGTGGGCTGTCTCCTTAGATGAGACTTCCTCTGGGCTGGAGGCCTTGCCCTACTTCTGCTTGGTTTTGTCATGGAACTTTTTGCAGTTTTAAAACTAAAATCGTCAAAGTAGTCCCCAAAATAATAATATAAATTGAGGGGAAGGTGAGGGGGTCAGTTGACCAGGGAATGTATTTGCAAAATTTTATTCCTTGGCTAGACTCAGAGCTAGCTTCCGATTGTGAAGACTGTTCGATGAAGGTCCAAAGGAATCCTCTTGGTTGACCAATTTCTTAAAATACCTGAGTCCCCATGGGGCACTCACTCTGGACTTTGGATGGCCAACTGGAAGCCTTTTTGAATGTTTTGGGTTTGTCTGTATTCTTTGCAGAAGGTGTCAGGGCCATCATTATTCAGGGCATAATCTAAATGGAAGAAGTAGTAGCATCAAGGTAAGCCTAAGAGTTATTAAAAACTTCTCAGCACACAGTCTGCACCGTAAGAGTTTTGCTCTGGATAAGCCACGGATTGCATTTTGGGGCCAGATGTGAAGCCATTAGTAATCAAGACAACTCCCTCGGGAAATCCTGTTCCCAGGTGATAGCTGCCTCCTTTGGAAGACTTGTTTGGGGAGCCCCAGGGGCTGTGATTTAGTGACAAAGGGGAACGTAGTGCCCCTAGAAAAATAAGAATGAGAGATTTCTAATGAGATCTGACAGTTTAAGGATTGAAAAAGGAGGCTAATCTTTTTTTCCTGCCCACCCAGTCTTTATACAAATGTAAATGTAGCCTCCTTCAACAAATTTCCAAATGTGGTTTTAATTTGTAAGGGGGAGACCCTGCCTTGCTTTTCTCTTTCTTCTTTTTCTTTGAAAACGAAGTCGCAGGTTTTGCACCTTTTGAACTAGACATTTCCTTCTGTCACTCTGTTACTTTTTCTGTTGTCCTTTTTTCTTTCAAGGACATTGTCCCCCATTTTTTGTTCTCAGAGGAATTTAGGATGAGGGTCGATTGTCCTGTAGCTTAAAGAAGTTTTTGAAGTTTGCATAGGAAATACATGGTGCTCTTTAAGTTTTAAAAAAATAATAAAGGCAGTGATTGAATCTAATGTGAGATTTGAAGAGCGTCACTATCGTGGCATCATACTTCAAGTGGTCTACGCAGTATCCATTGTTGTTATTTATGACCCTGTCTGCCTTCCATTGTGGACTTCTTCCAGCCTTGGGGAATTTACATCATTCCTAATAGCAAAAGGCTTTCTGGTTCCCACAGAGTTGTTCAAAGCCTGACTCATGCTCCTTATGTTAATTGTTCAGCTCTGAAAATACAGCACTTACAGGGTGTGGTTGTAAGGGGAAAATCTACTGTACTTATAGGGCATGTTTAGAAGTGTTTCACACATAAATCTCAGTCTCTCTGTCTGATTTAACTTTTAAACTGTAGCTATATTTGGTCAACTATTAAGTCTCGGGTGGGAAATGGGGAGAAGCATCAAAATGTAATATAATCCAAGAAAACCTATAATATTTTCTGTTCACTAACTCTTAAAACTGACTTGGGTTAACTGGATATGACTTTGAGCAATGTTGGTCTGTGGCTGAATGCATAGGCAGGGTGAACAAGAGCTAAAGACTGGTACCCAGTGGTGCAGGGAAGTGATTGGACAAAGCTAACATCTACCCCAGGGACACCCAGGTGTGTATGTACGCCTGCCACCCACCAGGCTCTCTGGGGCTGTTGTTAGCAATTCCAATATCATTCTAAAGCACAGACCTACTTGGTAGTTTACCAAAATTCTTCCTCATGGTAGCAACATTTTGCTGTGGAATTTGATGGAGAAAGGGTACTTAGTGTCCTGTGAAATGAGATATGTTAGCACCTTGTCTGGGTTAGCTACCTACCAAGAAAAGGGAAACAATTATGAAGTGTGAAATGGGTCAGTGCTGGCAGAGGTGAGGAGGTTTTTATATTTTCTAATTGCTCTCTTTTGAAGTTCCATGGAAACATGTAAGGATACATAGACAAATAATCTGTAGAATTCTGTAAAACCATGGTATCTTCTTCTGTTTAAGAAGAAGAAGAAAACAAAACTCCCAGTTTTTTAGTAGCTAAGAACAACAAATTCCAGTTTTCAAAGTACCAGTATTAAAAGGATTAATTCTTGACCCAGTCTTGAGTATTTTTGGAGGCAGAGAAAATATGGGGAATTCTTAGGATAATCAGGGTACAGACCACTGAACCACGAGTTTTTTCTGGAAGATCAAAGCTCACAAACATGCCACTGCCTGGCCCCATGACACAGCTTCATCACATTTGGGGGCACAGACATCAGATATGGGCCAAGAGTTCCCAGGTGGTTTGGAATTAATGTCCTTCCCATTTCAGTCTTGTATGTAATATTAGTGTATGAACTGTGTGGCTAGGAGTCCAAAAAGTGGCAGTTTACCCCAAAGTTCTAGATTTAAAAAAATTGAAATACCCTACACTAAGCAGTTGTATTTAGTCTTCATGAAAATAAATCTGTTCACTGAGACATTCAGAGTATAACTGTTTTTTCTCATGTTCAGCTAGTCGATTTCTGGATGAACCTTTGTTATCTTTTGGAGTAGACAGAGCTCTCTGTGGTGTGTCTCATTATTTTGCTGAGTGCACAGAAAGTCCATTTCCTCCTGGTTCAAAGCTCAAGAGACATGTTTTAAAAGAAACATAGGTTCAGCATGTTTCCTTTTTCTTATTTTTGACTGTCTCTATGTATGGATCCATAACCTGAAATCTAGAATTCAACCTGCAACCTAGTCACGAAGCCCCCTCTGGCACTGACCCTTCTCTGAGTCACATAATTGCTCTTCCACCTTCCTGACTCTCTTTCTCTTGCTTTCTGGACAATGGGATCAAGTCCTTGCTTCACAGGTGTGTTGCAAGGAGTGACTAATTCAAGTGCTTTGAAGATGAAAAGCACCTGTTGGTAGTGTGTTTCATATAACTTTCGGAGTAACTGCAGACAAATCTAAAAAAAAGACATTCCTTTTCTAAGATGCTTGTTCCAAATCTAATATAATTATGATAATCCTCATGCCCCTGATAGCAACAGTAAGAACAGTGTGTGTGTGTGTGTGTGTGTGTGTGTGTGTGCGCGCGCACGCACGCGCGTGTGTATGTGTGTGTGTGTGTGTGTGGTGTGTGTGTGGAGGGGGGTGGGTGGGTGTATGGGTGTGGTGTGTGTGTCCAGACTAAAGCTTGGCCAAAATAAATATTTCAGCTTCAGTGTTTTGAGTCTGGTGGTTTAAGAAATTTCTTGCCATTCACAAGCCTACAAATAGATGTTGAAGTCAAAGTCTCTAGTCTCTAAATTCTGTGCAGCCTGTGCTTTGGATGTATTTGAGCATTTACTTATGGGAAAAAATAATGTACATCAAATTTAGGCAATACTGACCCTTAACATCTGAAATAAATACCTATCTGCTGCCTTAATTAAAATATGAACTCCATTACAACTTCATTGATAACCGAGTGATGAATAAACAAAGTGACTCCTGGTGTATCTGATGTATCCTAGTGTAATGGAAAACATGAGGACTACTGATTGATTGATTCTGCATTTAAACATGCACTTGAGGATTTTTCTAGATTTGCCAGGGAAGTAAGCAAGGAAGAAGGGTAACACATGCCTACTTTTTCAGGTGTAGGAAATGTGGCAGGGGGAATTTTGAGGAAACCGTGCCTTCGCAGCTTTGTAAACAAAATCTTTCTTTGTTTTAGTGTGAAAAGAACTGAAATGAAAAGCGTCATGAGCAAATAACGGAGCAGCAGGGACATTGTGGCAACAGCTAGTGACTCAGTGATTGCAGAGATAGCAAGGAGGGGTGACAGCCAGGCTTCATCCAGACCCCTGTTGGAGTCCACCAGACAAGCAAGGGATTACATAAAGGCAGCTGAGAGCCACTGGGGACTTTCTGTTCAAAAGCTGAGAAATGTTCGTCAGGCGCAGCCAGAAGACATCAGCAGCCAGCAAAAACCTCATCCTGGGGAGCGGTTAGAGACGGGACTTCGAAGCGGGAGCCCTGTCTGTCGCTGTGAGTCAGCATCACCAGGTCCAAATTAAAGTCCACGAGGGGCCGGAACACAACAGAAATGCAGGAACTGCAGTTCTGCAGAAGACGTCGACCGCCCCAAGAGCATTTCTCTTGGAAGCGATCGATTGGTCCTGAGAGAGACGGCAGTGGGAGACGGCAGAGCTGCCAGGGTTCTCCCAACTTGAGAGCAGTTAGATCCGGAGTTACTTTTGAAACAAGACTTGGCACAAACCTCGTCTAATGAAGAGTTGCATGTTTTGCAAACTCTGTCCCCCAAACATCTTGCAAAAACTGAGCCAGGGAAGGCACAGCAAACCGGCTCAGTCACGAACACTGGAAGTTACCCACAATCCAGGGCAGTCCAACCAAGGAAAGAAAGAAGCACAAAAGAGGCCACTGACTGGAGAGGATGGCAGTGTCGTGGGTGAGAGTATGGTGGCCTCGCCTTTGGAGGGGCGGGCAGCAGTGTGTATAGACGCTGTGATCGTTGAGGGATTAGCAGGATTGTTTTAAACAGAAAATAGGTATTTGTGTTAGGGCTAGCTTTCTAAGCGGTCACCTCCAGGAGGCCATGTGCTTTTTCTCACAGCACTGCCACTCTCTCGTCATACTTACACCTGTCTTCAGAAAGTTAAACAGCCATTTGCCTTCTCAGGGACAACACCGCTTGTCAAAGAGCCACGTGAAGAAGCCAGTCAGCTGTCTCTGTGGCACGTCACTGCCAACCATGTGCCGGGCCCTGTAAGGCCAGGCATGGTCTGCAGTTCAGTTCTGGGACAGTTGATCCTCCCTTTCCTCAGCCCGAGCAGGGTGGCAGTGAAGGGACAGGCTAGTGGTTCTCCACATCTGCTCCTTGGACCAGCACCTGGAATGTGTTAGAAATGCAGCTCATGGACCCCACCCAGGCCTTACTGACTGAGGAACTCTGGGTGATCCTGAAACGTGTTCAAGTTTGAGAACCACTGGACTAATTGGAGACTCCCTAGTGTTTATTTCCTCCAACCTGACTAGCATGGCATCCAGTCAATCAGCTGGGGCCCATGTGAGGACATGCACACCTGCTCCCTCAAACTTGTAAAATACCTGGCTTCAGTGTAGGAGTTGCTCTGTTCCCAGGCTCTACAGCTTGGTGTCTACAGCCCCAGGATGCTGTTACTTACCCTAAGAATTGCTGGCAATTGAGAATTAAAAATTGAGTACAGATAACTCAGCCCAAGATTAGGGAAGACATGGGAGAGGCTTCCCTGTCCCTGCCCTTGCCCCCACCTCCAAGATTTTGGTTAGGCTCAGCAAGGACTAGACCCCAAGGGGAATACAGTGGTCATAGTTTCCAGTTTCCCATTTGCAAGATCTCACAGGCAGTTTAGATTTCAAAACAGGAACCTTCCATTTGTAGCATCTCCCTCTCTTGTTTCCAGTGTGCTTGCTGAAATGTCACATAGTGAATCATGGCCATGACTTAATTTTGGATGGACACCTACACTAAAGGTTTTTTTAACCCAATTTCATTCTAAAATAAGGAAAAGACCATACTCAAAGGCTACCCATTGAATGTATCTTTTTCTGCTCAACTTTGGGTGGTCCTTAGAAGTAATAACTCCCTAGTAACAAGGAAAATCAAGTATTTCCCAGAAGTGTTGGAGTTAGCAGAAAAATGACCCAGAAAAAGTCCAGTGAAATAAAAAAACATGAAAACAGACACAGTGTAGGTCCATGCTCAAGACTATAATTAGTGGTCTCTCCCAGCTCATTCTGCCTTTCCCCACTTGTATTGTAGAGTAAGACTCATTAAGAGGCAACCAAGTTTCATAGCACCATTTTGGATCGTGAAGTTTAGCCTTGATCGCCATGACTGGTCATGGATGTAGATGCTGTTCCTTTGCTGCTCCAGACCCTTTCTGGAAAACCGTCCGCTTCCTGTGGTCCAGCCTCACCAGCCCCACCAGGAACGTGGCCCTGCCCACTGTTGACCTTTCCTTTTCCCTCTTAGGTTTTTTTCCTACCCGCTAGCTGACTCCAGTCAAAGGGTTCTATAGGAGAAAAGGGAGCCCAACAGAATGATAATCACAGTAAGGCAGATTCTGCTCATCCAGTAGAGGTAGACTGCACAGAATGGAAACCTCCTGAGAAAATGCTGGAACTTTGATTTCCATGGCCCATTGGGGGACCTTTCTCTTAGGGTGGCCGGTTTTCTAGGTGGGCTCTTCACTGATGGCAGACCACAGTGTGTCATCTAATTTTCTTTAACAGAAACAGCTATTGGAACAGTTTAAACAGGACACAAATAGTAACCCAAGTGATAAACCGAGTAACAGCAAGCTCCCTGGAAGAGTCTGGAATAAAAAGGACAGCCATTCAGGAACAGTGGCTGCTGCCCGTGCCAGAGCTACAAGGAGATGGTTGCACTGGAGGCACCAGAGCAAATTTTTCTAATGAAATTAACTTCTTTTCATTAACCTGGGCCCTGTGATTAAACCAATACTTGTAATGATTTCTTTCAAGAAAAGTCTTGGCTTTGAGATTCAGTATATTTGTGAAAATAGCAATTACTGTGACCACAGAAGGAAAATGACCACTGTGGTTGCATATTGACATGGCCTTGCTCATGGCCACCATGTACATGGGGTTTTAACCAGATTGACAGAGGGAACAGGGCTCCACTTCTGTACTGTGGCACGTGTTTGAGGAACTTGGCCGTTATGCATTTCCTTCCATGTGTATGAAACACCCCTGGATCTCTTTACTTGAGTGGTTGTATGTTTCCTTGGATATTTGAAAGTACAAAGTGGAAAATGACTGCCAGGTTTTATTGTCACTTATTTAGATGGGAAATGAAGAGTTCTCTGCTGCTGGGAGTGATAATGTGTTTTGATATTCTTAATAATCTTAATAATTCAGCATCTGAAAACCTGAGACTCCGTCAGTATTCTTAGTCAAAAAGAAAAAGTTCTTCAACCACTTAATAACCAAATAAAATTTACATTCATGTCCTGGAATTCTGATGTTTGGAAGAAATGTGAATCCAATTTGATTAATGTTACAACTTAAACTCCATAATTTTCTCAGTGTCATGGCTTCTAAGTCACATCCATGTGCTTTCAAGTGATTTTTAAAATAGATTGATGTGGGTTTTTTTTTTTAATGTCTGAGAAAAGTCAGTGTTATTTTTCTAATGCATTTTTTTCTTTGTCCCAGGACGTTAACTGTCATCCATATATGCATTTGTTAAATGTAAAGGAGTGAGCATTCGGGGGAGAGGAGTGAGTGTTGCACATTTTTGCTCAGTTTTTTAATGTTGAAGAAGGAGGAAATACATTTCATTTTATGTAAAGCAAAAGTCCTAAAAAGCCTCTGTATGATTTCTAGAGAATCTAGCTTGTGTCTGAATGTGGTATCTCAAAATGTAGCTTGGGGACAACAATGGGAACACAGCTTATTGTTTGCTTTTGGTGTTAGGTTTGGATTGTAGCCTGAATTGTCGTGCATCTCGTGGTCTTTGATTTCAGAAAGCGCCTGGTGAGGGCAGAGCACCAGGGGGAAGACACCTCTGTGCGCAAAGGCTTGAGAATGGCCTGGGATAGCAGCATCGCCAGTCCCAGTTTCCTCAGTTCCTTCTTGGCAGACCCCACTATATTTTTTCCACAAAATTCTCGTGAGCAGCCTTCCTTTTGAGGTAACAAATATCTAAGAGTCAGAAATTCTCTGTTCAACATGCTATGACTTGATTATGTCAAGATCATTTTAATTTCTTCCTTTTCTTAGAGGAAATTTCCATGCTTAAGATGAGAGAGTTCGTTCCTTGTTATTGAAACACTAATGAATTGAAACACATTGGAGCACATAAAAAATTAAAAATTAAGCTGATTTCTGTTAAATAGTTTAAAGCCCTTCCTTAATACAAAGTAAGTTAAGCATTGTAAGATGAAGTTAATTCAGATAATTACTCAGGATAGGAGTCTAACTATATATATCATTGGTATTACAATTTAATGATGTCGTTAAATTCTCAGAAATCTGCAGAACTGCTCTAATTTGGTTTCTCTCTTTATTTAACCAGACAAAGAACAAATATATGTCAGTGTGTAGCTTAGCAGAGGGGACATGAGGGGGTGAAATTATTGCCTTAATTGTTGAGAACTACTCAGTTCTGGGCTTGAATTTCATCACCACATTCAAATAAGCTTCATTATGTAGCATAATATTGCCATATGTTAATAATTACCATTGCAATTACTTACTAAAAGGCTTGATTCTTTAACTAAACAAAAATCAGTAAAACCATATATTTGGTCCCAAAGCCTCTGATCAGACAACTAGAGGTGTGGGTTTGACAGCTGCCCAGAATAACTTTGTTCAGTCAAGTTAAGAAGCCAGTGACTTTAGTTATCACCAGGGAAGCTCTTTTTTTCCCATTAGCCTTATCCTCTCATTTGTTTTCTTTAAACTGTTTAAATAGTTGTACATACCTGAAAGTACATGGATGAAAGGAGTATACAGCAGAAATGAACCTGTTTTGTATATAAAAATTAAAATTGTTTAAAAATATTAAACCAGTGTATAATCACTTTTCTTCAAAACAGGTGAATTAACCCCAGTGATATACAGCCAAAATACCTCCACTGAACATGCTATTTAAAATCATATTTATTTGTTAGAGGCATTTTTTCCTCCTTGAAGAAATTCTGAGGTTTTGAACACTGTTAAAACCATCAGAGGAGCTCTGTGTTTGAATTGTTGGTCCTAAAGATTTTACGTTTGGAAAAAAGTGTGTAGGAGGTTGTGATTCACTTGGCCCCTAAGATTTTGGGGCTGTCTTTCTATTACAGATATGTTCTTCCCTCTTCTCTCAATTGTGAGCTAAGATAGACCCCTCTTGTGAGGGTTAAAGTATGTGACCTTGACTCCTTTCCAGAGAATCTTGACATTTCCCAAGTGGTTTGTTTCCATTTTCTAAGTGGATCTAGTCCTTGTTTCATCACTGAATGACGTCCTGGGCCGATTCTCTCTACACTGCCTTTTATGACAAGATCCCACACCTCTCTGCTTGCTTGTAAATATATTTCCCTTTGGATCCTGTACATAATTTTTCAGGAGCCTTTCAATATCAGGGTAGAAGAATACATTTGGATAGCTGTGTATGAAATGCTGAGAACCACTGCAATCTGTGAGTAAAACCCATTTCTTCTTCGTGTTTTGGCCATGGCAGCACGCCGAGCAGCCTCACCAGCAGAAGAGCTGTCCTGCCTGGCTGTGGCCTGGACTGGGGATCCAGGGACAGCTTGATGAATGGGGCCACAAGCTGCAAACCCTGGGTTCAGGCTGCTGCTTTGCCACTAATTGGCATGTGTGTGTGTGTGTGCTTCAAGACAAGTCACTTGATCTCCCAGGCCTCAGTTTCTTTGTTTGTCGAGTAAAATTATCTCTCCTATTTTAAGTCCTGTAGAACCCTGAGGTGAATACACGACTCCCATGCATTAATTCTTCCATCCATTTAAAAACAGGTTCTTGACACTGGACACACACTGGAATTACCTGGGTAGCTTCTAGTTAAATCAGAATCCTTGAGATTTGGCCTGAGTCTTGGAAGTTTTAAAAGCTCCTCAAATAAAGACTCTCATAAGAAGCCATAGTTAAGAATGATTGTTTAAAAATCATAGGCTGTGTGTGTGTGTGTGTGTGTGTGTGTGTGTGTGTGTGAAATACTGGATGTCAAAAGAGGCAGGGTATGCTAAGAGCGGAGACTCCTCAGGAGAGAGGCTTTCTGCAGATCAGAAGTTTACTACTTTTAATGAATGGGAAAGGCTTTGGTTACAAAGTGTCAGCATGCATACATTTTAATCATCCAAAGAGATGAGTTTTGCTTTCTCCTTGACGTTGCTCTATGCTCATAATATTGCTTTACACCAGACACATCAGAACACAGCTCCAATCTCTGCCAGCACTGAGCAATTGCTACCCTCATACAGAAGAGGAGTTTTTAAAGCACCTAAATAATTGTCTAGGATTTGCCTTTGATCCATGATCATTAATATCATTAATAATCTCTAAAGAAGTGCGTGTGAATCTTGAGTCCACGTTTGGCAGGGCAGTGGAAGAGTGAAGGCTTTTAAAATAGCTTGGCTCAGAAAGTGCATCTGAAATGACCCTGTGGGAAAAATCAGGAGAATTTCTTGTCTCCAAAGGATTACCTAGGATGAGATGCTGACCTTGTATTTAGTTCAGTTACATTTCTTTTAAAACCTCATTCATTACCCAGCCTGATTTATGTTGGGGGCTGTGGGAGGTGGTGTACGGTTTTCATATCTGTGTTTTGTTTTTTCCACAGTTCCCTAAAGATCATAACATATCCATGCTTCTTAAAAAAAAAGAAAAAGACCAGCTTCTTCATGAGATTTACTACAGATTTTCTTGCAGAAACTAGAGCTGAAGAATTCTCTCCTCTTCAGGCTTCTAAGGCGATCAAACCCCAGAAGGCCGAGTGCACAGGGTGAGCAGAGCGCTGACCTCTGCCGGGGAGAGGTCAGTTCCGCACACAAGACTCAAAAGGGAGGAAGAAAAAGCAAGGCCTCAGCAGGGAGTTTGACTTGCTTTAGGGCAGAAGAGATTTTATAAATAAGTTCCCAGTCTCCCACGCCCTCTCACCAGCTCTTCTATTACTAGTCCTGTCTCTGTGCTTACACACATGCTCACAGGGACACACGCACACAGATGCACTTACTTCCACTCACTGCCTTTCACCCCTCTCTCCACCTGCCCCCTGGGACTGTGGACTTACAGACCCTGCTCCGGAGGAGGCAGGTGATGGGTTGACAGGGGATTTTTCTAGACCCAGTGGCTCTTCAAGGCCTTTTCTGTTCCTGCTTAACATGCTCAGCTGGTGAGAAGCATGCAGAGAGTTCTTTCCCAAACCCACTCTGGGTGCCTGGGACGATTAATACCAGCCCACCCATTCCTGATGTCAGAAGGAGAAGGTGGAACGGTCAGTCAGGGTGACTTCCAGCCTTGATGTGGCCGACTAGGCATTTAGGATGGGTTCCAGTAGGAGGAGCCTGGAAGGTCCCTCTGTGTGATGCCAGAGTCAACCAGGGCTCATGAAACGACAGCCCTGCCCTGCTGGGTATATTCCCCTTATAAGGCTTTCCTGATGAGCCTTTTCCCAGTGCCTTCTGCTCAGCCCGGTGACCCTCCAGAGCAGAATGTAGGCTGCCTGGGCAGAGCCTGGGGCGTCTGGAGAAGTGCCAGTGGGTGCTCTCCATGAAAAGTGCCCACTGATCGAAAAGCACCTCAAAAGAGCTTTTGGCATCTGAGCTGCAGGGCATTTGCTGCTGGGGTTCTTGTTCTGATGCTAAGAAGAATCTCTCGCTGGAAGAACTTTCTGGATCTCCTGTAAAATCTCTATACAGGCTCAGAGATAGGCAGACTGTCCATTCATCTGTGGACTTTCAATATCATATCAGCCTTGCTTTCTCTTGAAGATAGTATTTCTCATACTGGTTTATCAAATTGCATTGTTCTGGGTCCTGGTTGTGGAAATGATTTGGGCTGTTATCTTTTAGGTTCATAAGGTCTGCTTTCAGGTCCTGGTAATATTTTAGAAAAGCTCACTGCACTTGAGAAAAACCTGAACTTTCTGCCCCAGGCTGTGCATGTTCGTCTAGGCCAGCTGCCCCACATATGAAGGCAAACTTAGAAAGAGAAGATGGTATGAGAGAAAGTTGGGCTTGATACTTAGTTCCTTCTCAGTCCAGAGGAAATGGCCATTGCGCAGTGAGGACAACCCGGAGGGACGGTCATTGTAGGAAAAGACTGCTTGGGGGGAGGGGCCATTACAAAATATTTCTGAGAGGTCCAATCCACCAAAAAGCTCATCCAGAAAGCAAGGCAACCATTATCAGATTTCATAAGGGGAGAAACTGGCCCGAGACTGTGTGTCCTGGAGTTGTCCCAGACCAGGCACCTGAGCTTACCCAGCTAAGCTTATCTTACCTGGGCATGGCCCTAATTTATAAAGTGGTGGGGAGGATGGATATAGAAGAAAGACCACAGTTGTCTCTTGAACAACATGGGGTTGAACTGCACAAGTCCACTTGTACATGTATTTTTTTCAATAGATATACTGGGAAATTTTTTTGAGCTTTGCAACATTCTGAAAAAACTCTCAGATGAACTGCATAGCCTAGAAATATTGAGAAAAGTAAGAGAAATATCGTGAATGCATGAAAATATGCAGGTACTAGTCTAATTTTATCATTTACTACCATAAAGTGTATATAAATTGATTATAAAAAGTTGAAATTTATGAAAACTTACACACATGCTTACTCTTCATTGGCACCATTCAGTTGAGAGAAATGTAAGCAAATGTAAAGATGCAATATTAAGCCCTAACCGCATAAAATTAACTGTTGTACATAATACTGTACTAATTTCATAACCACCTCCCGTACATATTGCAGTGAGCTCAAGTGTTGTGAGCATCCACCTAAAATGCCATGTGATGCTAACTGTTTCCACAGAAGCAGTTTGTCCAGTAAAAAGTGGTCTCCCATGGTTCTGTCATATTTATCACTGCATTTAGTATAATACTGTAAGCCTTACATAACAAAACCCACAGGGCACACACATAGTGCCACTAGTGAGCTGGAAGCACTCCCAAGAAGCAGAGAAGAGTCATGACATTACAAGAAAAAGTTGAGTTGCTTGATATGTACCATAGATTGAGATCTGTAGCTGTGGTTGCCTCCCATTTCAAGATAAATGAGTCCAGCATAAGAACAATTTTTAAAGAAGAAAAATTTATTCAGCCCTCACTACAGTGAAGCCAGCAGGCATGGAGGTATTTGCACTTTTTGCAAAATACCTTTTTCTTGTATCAAAAATGCAGCTTTTATGTGGGGACAGGATCTCTGTAAGAAAAGTATACCTATAAAGTCTTAGGAGGTTCCAGAAAAAGTGAAGTCACTATGTGACACCTTAAAGGAAGGTGAAGGGGCTAATGCTGGAGAACTTCACACCAGCAAAGGATGGTTTGATTATTTTAGGAGGAGATTTGCCTTAAAAATGTCAAGACAGTAGGAGGAACAGCTTCAGCCAACCAAGAAACAGCAGATCTGTTAAGAAAATCATTGAGGGGAAAGGATATCTGCTCGAATAAGTGTTTAATGCAGATGAAAGTGCCCTGTTCTAGACATAAATATTACAAAGGATATTTATTAGTAAGAAAGAGATGCAAGAACCAAGATTTAAGGCAAGAAGGGATAGACTAACTCTACTGTTTTGTACAAATACAATCAGGTTCATGATCAGGGACTACCCTTACATACAGAGCTGCTAACCCCTCAGCCTTGAAGGTGGAAGATAAATACTAGCTGCTCAGTCTTTTGGTTGCATAAGAAGGCCCAGATGAGAACACTTTTTCTGGAATGGTTCCATTGATGCTTTGTCCCTGAAGTTAAGGAAGCACCTTGCCAGTAAGGGACAGCCTTTCAAAGTTTTTTGATATTGGACGATGCCCCTGGCCACTGAGAACCCCCTGAATTCAACGCCAAAGGTGTAGAAGTGGTCTACTTGCCCCAAACACAATGTCTCTAATTCAGCCTCTGACTGGGTTCTAAAGACCTTTAAGGCTCATTTCATATGGTAGTCTATGGAAAGGATTGTCAGTGCTGTGGAAGAGAACCTGACAGAACATTGTGAAAGTCTATGCCATCATTGGTATAGAAAAAGCTGTGGAAGCCATCAAGCCTGAAACAATACATTCCTGATGGAAAAAAACACATCCAGATACTGTGCGTGATTTCACAGGATTTAAGATAAAGCCAATCAAGGAAATCAGAGTGTGGATATGACACACAAAAAAAGTGATGGTGAAGGGTTTCAAGATACAAATCTTGGAGAAATTCAAGAGCTAACAGACACCACACAGGAGGAATTAACAGAAAACAACTTGATGAAGATAAGCACTTTCATACCGGCGCCAGTCAATGAGGAAGACCTAGAAGCAGCTGTGCCAGAAAACAAATTGACAGTAGACAGTTTGGCAGGAGGAGGGTTCTGATTAATCAAGACTTCCCCGGACTTCTTTTATGACATGGACCCTCTATGATACGGGCACTGAGACTAAAGCAAATGGTGGAGGGAGGATTGGTACCGTATTGCAACATTTTTGGAGAAATGAAAAAAACAAGTCAGACAGAAATTACCATGTATTTCCATAAAAGTTACCCTACGTGTGCCCCCCTCTCCTGCCTTCCACCCCTCCACCTCTTTGCGTCTGCCTCCCCTGAGACAGCAAGACCACCCCCGCCGCTGCCTCAGCCTGCTCAACATGAAGGCGAGATGAAAGCCTTTCTTTTACAATGATCCACTTCCACCTAATGAAAAGTAAATAACCACCATGCCATACAGGTAATAAACTTATGTGTATGTGTGTGTCTTCATGTGAAAATGTAGTAATTGTACAGTAAGAACCTTGTTACCTTTTTGTGTCATTATCATCATCACCTAAGTATTCATCATGTAGTACATCTTGTGTGAGGCGTGTATGCAAGTGGACAGCCTATTCTTACATAGACATAAGGTGAGTGATATTTAATAGAAAATAATGTGTCAGTTTTCTTATTTTTTAGTTACTTTGCTTTCATAGAACTTCATTACAGCCTTGCTTCTCTCTCATAATAGGAGAAGCTGCATATCAGCCTATCATCACAGTAAGTGGGTTCTATTTTAGTGTAATGTTTCTCAGACTATATTACAAATATGACTATAATACTGTATACCACAAAAATTTTGTAATGATTCATTCATTAGTGTATAGGCTAGGCTATCGTGAAGCAATCGGTTATCAGTTATACTAGGCTACCATAAAGCAATCGTATTGCTGCTGCTTTGTTATCAATGCATTAATCATATCTGTAAATAAATATGAATTTCTCTTTCACACTATCTTTTCATTTATGATGTCCAGCATCACTAATCCATATAACATTTACAGTGTTTTGTATCATAGAACACATTATTCATATAGTGCTGACAGAAATATGATTCATCTTGTAAACAGATGATAAACTTATGGTACAATAAATACAGTACAGAACTGTACATGTATTTTCTCTTACGATTTTCTCAATAATACTTTCTTCATATTTATTGTAGGGAAAACTTGTACATATAACATACAAAATGTGTTAAACTACTGCTACCAGTAGTTACATTCTAGGGAAGTCAAAAGTTGTATGTGGAATTTTGACTGCATGAGGAATCAGAGCCCGTAACCCCCATTGGCTCAAGAGTCAGCTATGTGTTCTGTAATTATTATTTAGAGGTGATAGAGAGCTGTCTGTGCTCACACACCCACACACTGTTGTAGAATTTAGTTGGGCACCAAGTTTTTTTGCTGTCCTGAAGTTCATTCTTGTCTTGAATGAACTTTTCTTTCTGCTACACTGGTAGCAGGTACTGAATTGACCAGAGGAAAAGCAGACAATTTGCATAGTCAAAGCCAAATACAGCGCCTGCACATGGTGCAGCCTGGTACCTCTCTCTAGAAGAGGCCTGTATTCATTCGCTGTGGCTGTGTAATAAATTACCACAAATTCAGCAGCTTAAAACAACAAAAATTGATTATCTCAGGAAATCTGACAACTTTGAGCTGGATCCTCAACTCTGAGTCTCATATGGCTGGAATCAGGTGTCAGCCAGGCTGTATCCTCATCTGGAGACTCAGCTAGGGAAAGGTCACTTCAGGCTCCCTCAGCTATTGGCAGAATTCAGTTCTTAGCAATTGAGACTAAGGGCCCCATCGTCCGGCTTGCTGGTGATTGGGTGGGGACATCGTTCACCTCCTAGAGGCAGCTGTCAGGTCCCTGCTGTGTGGCCCCCTCCATCACAGGAGGGGAGAAACCTCCCTTGTGCTGAAACTCGTTCACATCTTGAATCTCCCAGACTTCTTACATAACCAGCCAGAGAAAACTCTGCTCTTAAAGAGCTCCTGTGATTAGTCAGCCCCGCTTGCATAATCTCTGTATTTTAAGGCCAGCTGATTTGGGACTTCAGTTACATCTGCAACATCTCGTCATAGCAATACTTGGATTAGTGTTTGATGAAACCAGGGGCCAGGAATCTTGGGGCCATCTTGGCATTTCATCTACCAGCAGAGCCAACACCTCTTAGTCCCTGTTTAGTGGTGAGAGAGGAAGCTGCCATTGGAATCTAGCTGGATTCTTTAATCTTCTAATGGATGCTATATTGTATCACAGGATGCTTTTGGTAATACCGAGGGCAGCTTTCATTCTCCCTGCAGCTATTTTCATGAACAATAAACAGTGGCACACATTTATGATCACAGTTTTACAGATGAAGAAGCTGAGATTCAAACAATTTCAGAAACTTTCCCAGGTTTGTAAGTAGTGGAGCCTAGAATCCAAGTCTGCCCAGCCCCAGAGCCCAGAAACCCTGCCGCTGGGCAGTGCTTGCATGAGCCTAACGCCGCAGAACTTACCATGCCAGTAATTGGGAAGGAAGAGCCAGGAAGTCTGCCTCGAGCGGTGCCTTTGACACTCGGCCTGCAGCCCAGCTCTGCACGCTGGGAAGGGGAAAGCAGCAGCCCAGGCCCGGCAGAGGCAGACCGTGCTGGAGGAATGTCGGGGCCTCATCTGCAGAGCACTGGACCTGGAACAAACAGGAAGCACAGCAATGACAGGGCTGGTGTGGGGAAAGCTGGGGGTCATGGTGAGGCCTTGCCCACCCCCTCTAGACCCCTTTCCCCTCCCATTCTTTCCCTCACACACTTTTCCCTTAGTTTTTGTGCAAACCTATAGCTGTTTCACATTTGTGCTCTTCCTGTTTTGCGCCTTGATATCTTTTAAAAAACGCTTCCAAAAATTGTCCCTGCAAAGCCAGAGAGAGCCCTCTGAGGATATCTGATTGTTAATGTCCTGAACTTGGAGGTTTTACATTTCTGTCTCCAGGATGGAGCTTTTCCAAGTGCGTCTGCGTGGGTGCCTCCATGGGTATGAAACTCTTGCATGATATGTAATTCTGGCCCATACTGACACAACAAACAGGTTAAGAATGACTTGTGGGATGTGTCCCTAATCCCTCAGTGTTGGATGGGGAGAGTATGGGTGAGTAGGCTTTTGGGGTGAGGGGCGGAGGAAGCAGAGCTTGCCCACAGGCAGCCTCAGGAACTCCCAGATCTGTCTGCGCCGGCCCAGCCGCACACCGGATGTGGCAACCTTCATCACCTTCAAGCTATTTAGACTTCAGTGTTCTTAAATGCTCAGGTGATTTTTCTGCAGTAACCTGAAAGAAGCTGCCAAGGCAGCAGGAGTGGTTAGGGAAGGTGGGATGAGGCCTAATTATAATTGCAGTCACCTGACACTGGCCAGGCTCCTTCCACCTGCCTCTTCTGACAGGAAAAGCAGCTCTGTTGTCCTGAAAACTGTGAAGTATGCACGTTCTCCAGGGCATGCACATGTGTGCATGTGCAAAGGACTAGGCTGTAGTGGGGCTGTCGGTTTTCCTTCTGAACCTCTTTTCTTACAATTCATTTTATTAATTCTATGAAACAGACTAAAAAGGAAATCAAGTTGAAGAACAAAGAACCACCTACAAAGGGACAGGTCTTAATTTTTGGTTCGGGAAACACCTATCATTCTCAGATTTATAAAGCTGTCACTTTCTAGGCAAAACCCAGAAATACAGCTCAGATCAGTACACTGTGTATGCAGCAGCTTCCTGCCACCTTCCTGAGGCTTTGCAGCCCCTTTTTGTTAATCACTGATATTCCAATTCTTTATCTTTGAAAATCACACCCAAGGCAGGAACCAGGCATACACCTGACAAATTCCCAGAAATTACAGCAATCCAGGAATCTGGAGCCCCAGGTTGTGGTTTCAGCTGTTGCTAACTCTCTGTGTGACCTTGGACAGGGCCCGGAACCTCTCTAAGTCTCAGTTTCCTCACCTGGGAAAGTAAGGAGGTTGCATCCTTTGATGAGTGAGGTCTCCAGTTGAGTTAACATCCAGTGAGTCTTAAGATAAAGTCTCTTCCACTGCACGTTTCTCAGCACAGATGAAGTAAAGTAGCTTTACTCTTCAGGTGCAGAGAGGGGGCCAGCCATTCCATTGCCTGAGTACTCAGTAGGAAGCCAGCTGCAAACCTGTATTCCCCTCAGGGGTCATGCAGAAGCCCCACTGGCCCTGCCAGGAGAGCTTTTCTTTAAAACAAAGCTGTTACTTTCATGTTGCTGGCATCTGCTTTTACCCTCTGGATAATTCAACTCTTGGGTGCCCTGCTGTGGATATTTGCAGGGGGAGTGGTAAATGGGGGATAAGCAGTGAGCAGTCTTCCATTCGAGGTTCTTGGTGGATTTAAGGGCCTTCACTCTCCAAGTTAATTTTCTCAACTTACACATCACAGGTTAACACCAGAACGTGAATAATGATACATAATTTAAACTTGTAAAACTGCCCAGGACTTGAAAGAAACACACTGTAAACCAGGAAGATTGTGCCCGGCATGCAAGAGCAAGTAATACAGGTAGAATTTATGTCCAAGGCAAGGGAGCGGCACCCACAATCTCAGAGGGTACCGTGCCAGGCAGCTGTCCCTGAAGCCCTCTAAGAAACCCCCCAGTTAGCTTTTACTTTTAACAACCATCGAAACGCAATTGTTCACAAAGGGAAATTTGTTGTTTTTAATAAACTAAGAAATATCTAGTGGATTTGAAGTGAAGCAACAAGAGAGCCCCAGTAGTTTCTAAACTGTTTTTAAGACTTCTGGGGCCAGAACCCTACCCAAGTGCCCTGGGGCACCCTTCTGCCTCTGATAACCAAGCTGTCTGTTGGCATTGTTGCAGACTGACATAGCCCAAGCCAGGATGTTTAGCTGCTTGTGGGGTGGAAAAAAAAATGTTAAGAAAAATAATTGTTGTTTTTGCAAACTATCTATTTAAAAACAGAACCTCAGGAAGCAGATTTCTGTTCCAATGCTTGGATGAATCAGAGCTTACCAAGTATAAATACACATTAGCAGGAGGAGGCTTCCCATAACCCAGTGCTTGTGTCCTCCCAGACCGGGAACCTCTGAACTCCTGTTTCTCATTCCCAGTAGAGGCAAGAAAGAGCCGCAGTTGAAGCGGAAATGATGGAACATTGCTCAGCCCAACTTGAAAACGTCTGTAGGTCTGCAGGACTTCTTTTTGTCTTCAAAGGCAACTGGTTTTTAGGCACACACTTGCTCACTTTTGGATGGACAGGGATACACTGTTTAGAAAGGTGGGAAGCCCTGTGCTCTGCTGCCTTTGGCTTTTCACTACCTGAGAAACGGTAGCCAATAAGTTAACTTTGACTTACTGACCCCTCAGGTCAGCCAATATACATGAAGTGTTTAGACCACAACTTGCTCAAGGGGCAGTGTAATTATTTTACTTAAAAATGATGTCAGGTGGCAATTTAGCAACAAACTGGCTTCCAGGCTACTTAATTCAGTTTAACAAGGAGGAAAAACATTGTAATTAATGAAGAGCTGGTACTTTAGCATTTTAGTAGAGTTGTTCTCAAATTTTACTGTACCTAAGCCGGGGAGGAAGGAGGAGGAGGGGAAAGCTTATTGAAAATACAGATTCCCCTGGCCCCACTTCCGGCTCATCTTGGGCCAGGCCTGAGAATCTGCATTTAGGAGAAACCCAGTCATAAGTACAATGTGTAAGACTAGACTCTCAGGACAGCTTCCCATCCTAAAGTAAGCAACTTCATCTAAATTCCTTCCTGGAGTCACGGTATAGTCTAATGCTGGAGGTCTAGGTAGCCAAGTTTGTGGGCTAAAAATTCTTTCTCTTCCAGGGCCTGCTTAAAGAGGGCCCAGAATGTTCCTGGGAAAGAGGAAAGGCACTGAGTCCCTTCTTTTCCTGGGCCACTTCTCTGGCCCCAGC